TAAGGATATTTCCTAAAAGGTTTGAATTACTAACATTGTCCTCAGCTATGAAGGTACTGCAGTATCATTAATTCACTTAAAAGAATCAAATCACTTAATACACTGCATGATAAAGATCTGGCTGAATGATTGCAGTCATACGACTACATCCATTTCCCAGTTATTTAACACATTTCCAAACTTTTTTTGTAACAGTGAATTGAGAAAAGAGAGTGATTATTTAAAGCTATTAATTGTGTCTCTATATTTTTATGCATCATGTAATTTGTATTCTCTTATCATCTTGATCTGATAAGAGAAGACAGAATAATGCAATAGACTATAAGTAGTAAAATAAATTGTCAGAATTACCTGAATTCATTAACATTTAACACTGAATGCTTTTATCCCTTTAATTTTTGAAAATCATTCACACAAAAATTCCTTTAAGTGATCATTTGTCTTTAGGCTAACCTACTTGAAGCTATAGAATAGTCTATCTTGTATTTTCTATGCCAATATCTTTTCAAAGTAAATCATACCAGATACTAAGAGATGTAAATTTTAATATTCAAATTTTTATTATTATATATTTAAAATGAAAAAATCTGCATAGTGACTTTTCATTTTAGGGGGAGTAAAGTTAGCTAAACGGTTGGAAACTAAAATCTCCCATTAAATTAATAGCTTTACCTAGTTCTTCTGTCTACTAGAAGGCATTTCATTAAGTTTAATCCTCCTTTTTCAACAGCTGTATTGAGGTGTAATTTACATACCATAAAAATCACCCATTTCAAGTGCACAATTCAATGATTTTTAGTAAATTTATAGAGTTCCGCAACCATTACCACAATCCAGTTTTAGAACATTTCCATCACCTCAAAAGAAATTTTGTACTCATTGGAAGCCTCTCTCCTCATCTCACCTCCAGCCACAGAGGACCAATGCTAAGCTTCCTGTCTCTATAAATAGATTTATTCTGGACCTTACATATAAGCGGAACATACAATACGTTATCATTTGCGTCTTTCTTCTTCCACTCAGAATAAGAGTTTTGAGGTTAATCCATGTTGCAGCATCTTATTAGTATTAGTGTGTAATTTGCATTACTATTTTATTCCTTTTTGTTACTGACTACATACATACATTGGATATTTTGTTTATCCATTTATTAGTTGATAGATATTTGGATTGTTTCCACTTTTTGGCTATTTCAAAAAATGTTACTATAAAAATTCTGATGCAGATCTTTGCATGGATATTTGTTTTTGTTTTCCGTGGACAATATGTATGAATAGAATTACTGGGTTACATGGTCAATCTATGTTTAACTTTTAAGAAACTGCCAATTTAACACCCAAATTATTTTCTCACGTGCCTATACTGTTATTTTAAATCTTTACTAACAATGTTGAGTTACATTTTTTTCCCATATCCTAGCAAATGTGGTGTTTTCTGTCTTTTTAGGATAGCCATTCTAGTTTTTGTGTAGTGGTGTCTCACTGTGGTTTTAATTTATATCTCTTTATTGATTAATTAAGTTAAGCATCATTTCATGTGCTTATTAGTAATTCATATGTCCTTAGTCAAATTTCTATTCAAATCTTTTGCCCAAATTTTAATTGAATTGTTTGTCTTTTTCATTATTGATTTGTAAATATTCTCTGTGTATTCTGGATGGAAGTCCTTTATTAGAAATATGACTTACAAGCATTCTTCCTAGTCTGTGACTTGTCCTTTATTTTCTTAAATTTGTTTTTGGAAGTACAAAAGTTTTAAGTTTTAATTAAACCCAATTTATGGATTGGGCTTTTGGTGTTGTTTCTATGTCTTTTTCCAGTCCCAGATCATGAAGATTGTTTTCTGTTATAGTCTACAAGATTTATAGTTTTGGCTCTTAAATTTAGGTCTATGACCCATTTTTAGTTAATTTTTCAGTGTGAATGTAAGATTTTTAAAATATGGATACCCAATTATTTCAGAAAAATTGTCTGAAAAAAATCATTTCCCTTTTGAATTGTCTTGGCACTAATATCAAAATGCTCTATTCATCTATAAGACTATCCTTGTGCCAATAACGCACACTTGATTTCTATGGCTATAGAGTAAGTTTGAAATTGGGTTAAGTCCTCCAAATTTGTTCCTCTTTTTCAAGGTCATCCTAGGTCATTTGAATTTCCGTATATATTTTAGGTCATCTTATGAATTTCTATAAAATAAAAAGGCTGTTTTTATTCTGACAAGAATCATGTTCAATTTATTGATAAATTTGGGAATAATGACCATCTTGACAACACTGAATCTTCCAGTCCATGAAGATGTAACGTGTCTCCTTTTATGTAGACATTCATTGATTTCTCTCAACAATAATTTGTAGGTTTCAGCATACAAGGCTTATACTTCTCTTTTAAAATCATTCCTATATATTCTATTGTTTTTATGCTCTTGTAAATGGAATTGCTTTCTTAATTTTATTTTGGATTGCTCATTGATTGTATATACATGTACAATTAATTTTTGTATATCAATCTTATATCTTGTAGGGCTAAAACATTCATTTTTTCATCATTAAATTCCATGATAGTTGTGGGGTTTTTTGTAGTTCCCTTTAAGTGGTTGAGGAAACACCCTTCTATTGCTAGTTTGTTAAAAAAAAAACATTAATTAATGGGTGTTGGATTTTTTTTAATGCTTTCCCTTCATCTCAGAATGATAATGTGGTTTTTTATCTTTATTCTATTAAGGTGGTATATTACGTTAATTTATTTTTAGATTTTAAACCAACCTTTCATTCTTGAAGTCCCTTTTGATCATGATGCATAATTCTTTTTTACGTATTGCTGGATTTAATTTGCTTTTTTTGTGTGTGTGTGAGGATTTTGGATCTATGTGCATGAAGAATATTGATCTGTAGTTTTCTTGTGATGTTTTTCTCTGACTTTGGTCTCAGGGTAATACTGGTTTTACTGAATGAATGGAGAAGTGTCTCTATTTTGTGAAAAATTTATCTTTTAAATATACAATAGAATTCTCCAAGGGAGTCATTTGGATCTGGGCTTTTCCTTGAAGGACGATTATAAATTACTAATTCAATGCTTCATTACAGATTTTTTTATTTTTCTTGTGTAAATTTTAGCAATTTCTGTCTTACCCTAGACATCTACTTATTTTTATCTAAGTTATCCAATTTGTTGGCATAAAAATGTTCATAATACTGTCTTATAATCGTTTTAGTTTTGATAGGGTAAATAATGATATCCTCTCTTTCATTCTTCATTTTGGTGATTTGTGTCCTCATTCTTTTTTGTCTTGATCAGTCTAACTAAAGTTATACTAATTTTATTGTTCTTTTGAAGAACGAAATTTAGTTACATTGAATTTTTCTAATGCTTTTCTGTTTTCCAATATATTGATATCTTCTCTAATCTTTATTATTTCTTTTCTTCTCCTTGCTTTGGGTTTAGTTTGCTCTTCTTTTTCTAGTTTCTCAAGATGGGGATTTAGGTAATTGATTTTAGATCTTTTTTTTCCTCTTCTGACATATTTATTTAAAGCTATAAATTTCCCTCCATGCTTTGCTCCAGTTGCGTCCCATAAATTTTAGTATGCCATGTTCTTGTCTTCTTTCAGTTGGAAATTTTTCTAATTCCCCTTGCAATTTCTTCTTTGGCTGCTTTATTTCAAATTAATTTTATGGGGTCCAAGAAATTTCTTTGCATAATTTCAATTTTATTTAATTTATTGAGACTTGTTTTATGAAGTACTGTATTATCTCTCATGGAGAACATTCCACATGTGCTTGTGAAGGGTGTATATTCAATTGTTCTTGGGCAGAGTATTCTACAGTTAGGTTAGTGTAGTTGGTAGTGTATTCAAGTCTACCATATTCTTGTTTATTTTCTCATTGTTCTATCAATTAAGAGTGATGTACTGAAATTTCTGACTATTATAATCAAATTCTTTATTTATCCTTTCAATTCTGTCAGTTTTTATTCTATATTTTAAGACTCTGTGTGTTATATGTATAGACTCTTCTACTTTCAAAGATTTAACCCACCAATATTCATATATTTAATATTTAGTAGAGTCTTATAAACTTGTCCAATACATATTTTAATCTTGTTACAAAGATAGACACAAATGAAAATTATATTTACTCTGATTATATTTTATCCAATGAATAAACTCTAAACATTCGTGTAAATCGTCAACTTACTTGACATTTAAATCTCCAGTAAACCATGGTCTTTGGCCAAGTTAGTATATCTTAAAATTCCATATACATACCATCTGTGCCTCAAATAGTGTTTTTCATTTAGAAGCTATTCAATAATCATTTGACATTAATTAATGAATTACATTTTTCTAAATTGAATAGAAAAATAAATTTGACATTTTATATACATTTGTAATAGACACCACTTTGTTCAAACTTTTGTAACTGTTAATTGCATCATAAAGGCAAGATAGCCCAATAGGGATTGAGAACCATAAAGAAAGTTACTGTTGCTTTATGCTTATCAGTGCTAGTATAGGCTATGCAATACAAGTGCTCTCTTTGTAAAGAAGTTAAAATGCAGACAGGATATTATATTAAAATATTTGCAACAAAATGCTTTGAATATGAAAGGAAAATTTTAAATTAGTAAAATTAATTTTCTTTAAAGACTTCAGAGATTTCAAGGCACCATCACATCAACATCTTAAACTTAAATGTGTTTTAAATACAATAACTAGTTCTTGCTAAAGGCTAAGAAAAGAAGTAGCTACTAAGAAATCTATAACTTCATTCTTCATGCATAGACAAACAACATTTAAGGCATATTACCCTGATTTACATGAAACAAACCCCTGAGTACACTACACAAAGTGCAAATCACATCATGTTGTAAACGTGTAGTAGAGAAACATTGTCTACTATATTTTTCAGAAATAGTGCACCTACCTGATAATTATTTTTAAAAATGGATTGCTTCTTTTTGGTATAGCCTATAATAAGAAAGCAATTTCAAATTACACACCTTTAGGCTTATTTTTGTTCTCCATCTTGAAGTGTACAGAAGAGAATCCCTCCACAATATCTTCCAGCACTAAGCACTTTGACTGACTCAGGGGGTCAAAGCATTCTTGGTCTCATTTCACTACGTAGACCCACAAATGCCAATTTTGCCTCACTTTCTTCATTACAAATACATGTGGAGGAACAAGGAGGAGAAGGAAGAGAGAGAGGCAGAAGTTAAAGAAAAGGAGGAGGAAATTCCAGCCTGCATGATTACAGATTAATCCACATTTCAGCAGCAAGGCAAAGCTCCCTAATGTTACAGTTGTGTCCCTGAGCCTCCCTACCCCTAACGTCTCATCACATTCCTGCAATCACACGGCAAGGATGCTTCTCGTATTAATCACAAAACTGAGTATGATTTTGTTTCATTCTCTGTGTATACCCCTTTGAGCTCGTGAAGATAAATGATATACATTTGATTCTGTTTATTCCATTTAAACCATAATCTCAAAGAACTGATTCTTATAGATGACCTTGTCTCCCTTTTCTAAAATTCACTTGCACACCCTTACCCACATATAACCTTCTTCCATCCAAAATGTGTTCCTTGACCTCTCTACTTATCCTAATATGAACTAGATGATGTTTTTGCTATTAGTTTATGAATATGACAAGACAAGATTAATATCTAAGTTATCTAAATATTTTTTTACAAAAACTTATGCCCTTTGATAATATTGAAACATTTTTATAACTTCATTTTAAAGAGAAATGCTGAATACCTAAGAAGGGGAAAACATTTGGTGCATATGCAACCTTAAGTGCCTCCACTATATCAAAACGAATTTAAGCCTTCATCAAATCAATTAACTTATGAGACGTCAAATTGAAAATGCCACAATTAAGTAGGAATTTAACTAAGAGAAGAAAGGTCAAGTTTTTTTAAATAAGCAATTTCACCAAATAATCTTTCCTGAACTTTTATCATGAACAACATGAAAAATCTTCTGGAGAAAAAAATGAAACTGTGTTATATTAGTGTGCAGGAGATAGAAATGAGGCAATGTTCTGAAGAAAATGTTAGTGAAATGGTTACATAAACTCTGAGACAAAGAAAGAGATATTTCTATTGAAATTTATTACCACAATCTGTCTCTGGCTGGTTTATATGATACGCGAACACTTCCATGTAGGTAGGGACTATCACCTTCCAGGACTGCTCATTGTCCCATTCTTCTGGGAGTAGAAGCAATATACAGACAGACCTAAAGTGTTGTTTATCTCCTATATACATAATGCCGTAGCATTGTTTTAATAGTATATGCTTCAGAAATATTCACAATAAGATCATAATGCACTTTTGTCCCAAATGATAGAATGAAAGTCAAGTAAAAATACATATTGTAAGGGATAGTTCTTTGGTTTTAATAAAATTGGTTATTTGAGCTGTTATATTTGCCAGGGTTTAATTTCTGAAGTTTATGCTCTCTGTTTCTAATAGAGAGGTGATAGAAACCAAAAATCGGCTCATTTTCTTTTATACTGGCAATATGCCACCCAAAATAAGGTTCGAAAAAATAAAAAGATAGGTCAGGGACAGTTCCAGTAAAAAAGATGGGCCTTAATGACACTGTATAAAAATTCTCTCTCTCTCCATATATATATAAAGCTACATTTAATTATGGTAAAATACACATAATATAAAATTAAACATTTTAACTATTGTAAAGTATAACATGCAGTAGCATTACTTACATTCACAATATTGTGCAACTATCCTTCCTATCTCCTTTCAGAACTTTTCCTTACCCCAAAAGGATACTCTGTATCTATTAAGCAATCACTCTCCATTCCCCCTCTCCCAGTCTCTGGCAACCACTAATACACTTTCTGTCTCTAAAGATTTGCTTATTCTGGATTTTTCATATCAATGGAATTATATAATACGTGGCTTCTTGTGCCTGGCTTCTTTCACTTAGCATAATGTTTCCAAGATTCAGCCATGTTGTAGCATGCATTATTACTTCATTCCTTTATGTGGCTGAATAACATTCCATTGTATTGATATGCCAGATTTTGTTTATCCATTTATCAGTTGATGGAAATTTGGGTAGTTTCCATATCTCTTTTGGCTATTGTGAAGAGTGCTGATATAAAAAATTGAAAAAGATAATCATGGTTTTCACTTTTCAGTGCTTACCAGGAAGTGGAGAGAATCATTCAAGTTAAAAGAGTAATGATGCTATAGTGCTATGGCAGCTCAAGAGAGAGATTCCACATCCAAATCTTGGTGGTCAAGGGAGAATCTCAGGTAAAAACGAAACGTGTTTAGATCTGAGGGAGAATTTACATTGGCGAATTTTATGTGGGAATGTGGGATCAGATTTGGGACATATATCACAGCAAACTCAAACTCTTGCATTACAATAGGATGGCATTTTAGGGGAATTCATGTAACCTTTAAATGAGCAAAGAATCTGTGTGTGGAAATTACAAAAGGTAAAAGGGCTAGAAACATGCAGCACAGTAAGCCCATTTTAGAAGATGGACTTTAACCTGAGAGAAGGGCATATTCTGCATTCAGCTAAAAACCGGAGCTGGAAAAGTCATCACTCACAATGTAACAATAAGAAAAGCCAGATAATAACTCTATTAAACTCATTAAATAACTGAGATTACAGAGCAACCAAGTAGTAAGAAATCTAAGAGAAAAATTGTCCTTCCAAAGAGATTTTAGATACAAGCACTGGCTCACCTAAGGCAGAGCACAGGAGGAACAGAAGTCAAACTAGGAATTAAGAGAAACTTCTTCAAATTAATATTAGAGTTAACATTATACTTAAGGGTAAAACACTTATTTTCCATGAACTTTAGGAAAAAGATAATGATATCTGCTCTCACCACTCCTATTCCACATTACACTGGATTTCCTGTCCAGTGCTATAAGTCAAGCAACATAAATTGGAGGCATATAGTTTCTAGAAAAAGAAATAGAACTATCTCGTTTAAAGAAAACATGATTGTTATGCAGAAAATTATTAAAAATCAACAAAAAGCTACCAGAACCAGTCAGTGAGTCCAAAGAAGCATTAGGGAAAAAATATTAAAAATCAACTATATTTCTACAAACTAGCAAGGGACAGTTGGAAATGAAACTAACAAAACCACATCATATACAATAGTTATAAAATCATGAAATATTTCAGTATAAATTTAACAAAATATGTTTGGCAACTAATGATTAAAAATACAAAACACTGGGCCAGCCCTGGTGGCCTAGTAGTGAAGTTCAGCATGCTGCACTTTGGCTGCCCAGGTTCATTCCTGAGGCATGGACCTACACCACTCATCAGTGGCCATGCTTTGATGGCAGCACACGTACAAAACAAAGGAAGACTGGCAACAGATGTTAGCTCAGGGCAAATCTTCCTCAGCAAAAATAATAAAAACAAACAAAAAAACCACTGATGAAAGAAGTGAAAGAAAATCCATCCAAATGGAGAGATACACTGTGTTTTTATATCAGAAGCAAACCAAATTCAACAGCACATTAACAAGATCATACACCAAGACCGAGTGGATTTTATAACTGGAATGCAAGTATGGCAGAAGACTCACAAATAAATCAATGTGATGCATCACACTAACAGAATACAGGATAAAAATCATATGATCATCTCAATGATGCAGAAAATGCATTTGACAAATTTCAACACTCTTTCATGATAAAACCCTCAATAAACTAGGAATAGAAGGAAATTATCTCCATATAATAAAAGTCATATATGAAAAGCCCACAGTTAACATCATCTTCAATGGTGGAAAGCTAAAGGCTTTTCCTCTAAGATCAGGAACAAGGCGAGGATGTCCACTCTCACCACTTCTATTCAAAATAATACTGGAAGTCCTAGCCAGAGCAATTAGGTAAGACGAAGACGTAAAAGGCATCAAAATCAGTAAAGCAAGGAGGAAAATTATCTCTGCTGATGACATGATTTTACACGTAGAAATCCTAAATTCTCCACTAAAAAGCTATTAGAACAAATAAACAGATTTAGAAACGTTACAGATTACAAAATCAGTTGCATTTCTATATACTAACAACCAATTATGCAGAAAGGAAATTAAGAAAATCCCTTTATAACAGTGTCAAAGAATAAAAGAGGAATAAACTTAACCATGGAGGTGAAAGACTTGTATACTGAAAAGTACAAAACCTTGATGAAAGAAATCAAAGAAGGTACAAATAAACAGAAAAGACATCCAGTTCTCCTGAATTGAAAGACTTAATATTATTAAAATGCCCACATTACCCAAAGTGATCTACAGATTTAATGTAATCCCCATCTAAATCCCAATGGCATTTTTTGCAAAAATAGAAAAAGCATCCTAAAATTCACATGGAACCACAAAAGACCCTGAGGAGCCAAAGCAATCTTTGAGAAGAAAGAGCAAAGCTGGAGGCATCACACTTCCTGGTTTTAAAATATGTTACAGAGCCACAGTATTAAAACATTATAGTACTGACATAAAAAGACACATACAGATCAATGGAAAAGAATAGAGAGATTGGAAATGACCCTATGTGTATATGGCCAATGGATCTTTGAAAAAGGTGCCAAGAATACACAATAGGGAAAAAGATAGTCTCTTCAACAAATGGTGCTAGGGAAACTTGATATCCACATGCAAAAGAATGAAATTGGTGTTGCATCTTACATCACTCACAAAAATCAACTCAAAATGGATTAAAGACTTAAATGTTAAGACCTGAAATGGTAAAACTCCTAGAAGAAAATGAGGGGAAAGCTTTGTGACATTGGTCTTGGAAATGTTTTCTTGAATATGACATCAAAAACAGAGGTAAGCAAAGCAGAAATAGACAAATGGAATTAGACTCAACTAAAAAATTTCTGCACAGCAAAGGAAACAATCAACAAAATGAAAAGGCAACCTACGGAATGGGAGAAAATATTTGTAAACCATATATCTGATAAGAGGTTAATTTCCAAAATATATAAGGAATTCATACAGCTCATAGAAAAAAAAACTTCATTGAAAAATGAGCAGAGTACTTGCGTAGACATTTCTCCAAAGAAGACATAGAAATGGCCAACAGATATGTGAAAACATGATCAACATCACTAATCATCATGGAAGTGCAAACCAAAATCCCAATGCGATTCCACCTTAGGCCTGTCAGAACGGCTTTTATAAAGTAAACAGAAGATAACAGGTGTTGGCAAGCATGTTGAGAAAGTGGAATCCTTTACACTTTTGATAAGAATGTAAAATGGTGC